AAAAAAAAAAAAAAAAAAAAGAAAGAAATCAAACAATAATAGGCTGGCAAGGCTGTGGGGAAAGAAAGGAATTCTACACTATTGGTGGGAATGTAAACTAGTACAATGGAAATCAGTATGAAGACTGCTCAAAAAGCTAAAACTAGAAATTTCATTCAACCTAGATATTCCTCCTCCAGGTATCTTACCCAAAAATTTGAAGACATCATATTACAATGATACATGCATATCCATGTTTATAGCAGCACAATTCACAGTAGCTAAATCTTGAAAGTGGCCTATATATCCATCAACGGATGAAGTAAATGTGTTATTTATACATAATAGAGTACTACTCTGCCAGGAATAAGGATAAAGTGGAGTCAATTGTAGGAAAATGGGTGCACCTTAATACCATAATATTCACTGAAATGTCAGATACACAAGCTGAAATATTACATGGTTTCTCTGATATGAGAAACCCAAAATATAAATAAAGAGCAAAATAAAAGGTAGATAGTGGGAAATAAGGAGATAGAGTCTTTTGCAAATGGAAAAAGAACCAAGAGATGGAGGAGGGGAAGGGGAAGGGAGATGAAAAAATAATTAAGATATGTTCTGTATACGTACCCACTTCCCATGAGGAATGTAATCAGTATGTACTGCAAACATGTACTAATATAAAATAAAAATTGAAAATAAAACATGGAGCACTAAAGCACTCTATTATCACAGTAAATGGAGACTAGTCCCTGTTTTATACTGTACAACTAAAGGGAAGAATACTACTTTTATACCACATAAAGCTACAAAAGGACTCAAAGATCCATAGACAAGTGGTTATCACAACACCGTTACCCCACTCGTCCTAGTCAAAATACATGCAGTAAGAATAAAAAAAGAATTAACTCTGCTGATTCCTGTTCTAAGAATCTGGTTTCCAGATCTGCCACTTCTTTATCAATCTAAGATCTTCACAGTTCTGGCTTATTTTTCCTAACTTGAAGGTCTAGACCAGTGATGGTGAACCTTTTAGAGACAGGGCCCAAACTGCATCCCAAAGTCCACCTATTTTTTGCAAAGGGCAACACTGCCCCTATGTGCACTGTTATCTGATGTTCAGCTGCTGAGGTATTGCTGGGGCGATGCTGGGGCGATGCTGGAGCGACTTGGCTTTCGTGCTGAGAGAGCTCTGCGTGCCTGCGGCAGCACATGTGCCACAGGTTCGCCACCACTGGTCTAGACTCAAGGTGATCCAAGTCACATCTGTTACAGTGTAAGAAATAGCACAGCTGAGGATATACTCACAGTTCGTTCACCAGTCATTTTGTAAAGAGCATCTTGAAACTGGTTCCCATATTCAAGCATGTCCAATTCCACCACTTTATAATTGACATTCATGTCGTGGAAAATCTTTTTTGCCATTGTACAGTAAGAACAGGACGTTTTTGAGAAAATCACCACACAGTTACTGGAAATTGTTTCCTGAGATAAAACAAAAACTCATTTTAATTCTGGACATCATGTTTTAGAAAGAAATTATGGTACTGTGGAAAGGCTATAGATTTTGGAGTCTCATAACTTAGGGCTCGAAGTTTCTGTAAGTTTCTATGACCCATTTTAATATATGCAGGTTGAGGACATTATTCATTTTGAATTAATATTAGGAACAGAAGTATAACAAATAGTGCCTGACATGGGGTGGTAATAAAAAATAGCAATAATAGAGCCAATTCATGTACAGCAAACCCTTCTGTGTACCAGACACTATTCTCAACACTTTGCCCCAAATGATTATGAGACTTTGGTACAGACATCTGCACAGCCTATGAAGTTTCTTGTTGTTATTTCTAAATATACAGGTATCTGGGTCCTTGAAAAGATTTTGAACAGACAGGTCTAGCATCTAGATATATTGTACATGGATAAGTCTAGCAAAGAGGCATCTGTCTAGGTTGTTCTTACGTGGTGGGTCATAGCAGCACTTTCAAGATGACAACCTAAAACAGAAAACGCACTACCCAGACGAAGTACCTCAGCACCTACCTTTGCACATCAGAAGAGTCCTAAGTTACAGGCCATCTACCTATAAGATGACCTATTTTTATACTTTCCCTTCTGCTTACTCATAATATTTGGAAGAAAAGTCCATCTCAGGGAAGGCCAGCTGTACCAGAGATGCATTAATGAATCCATTTTATAGATGACAAAACTGAAATGGAAAGATTCATAACATTTGGATTTGACCCAACCCTCTCACAATAGCAAAGCTACTATGCTTTGCTGCCTCAGGTCATAGGCACACTGTGACCATCATTTACTTTACAGAGAGATGAGAATGCTGGGTTTTGCCATGGGGTGAAACACTAATTCAGATGTGTCAAAATAAATTGGAGTTCAAGATGACAGTATCAAGGTTTCTTGAACCCTTACCCCACCTTTTCTAAAGCTCATTCAGCATATTTCATAATGCTGCATTTTTACCTTAGAGGAGGTAATTCCCTCACAATGTTTCCAGCATTACTGTTACACTCAAGATCTATGAATTTAGCTAACTCAACTAAATGTAGATTATGTGTGTAGTGTGACAGCTCCAATCCAGGGCCTTGCATGTTAGGCATAAGATCCACTACTGCAGTGCACCCCCAGACCAAGGCTGAAACTTTTTATATGTGGTAGAAGGAGGTGGTAAGGAAGAGAAAGAAAAAAACAAGTATGACCAAGAGGCTGCAAGAAGAGAAAAATGTGTGTATGAAATTTCAGAGACAGAATTATCTAAGATTGGCAGTAAAAGAGAGAGGGAATTGTATATAGTATCCCCGAGGGGATTGTTAGCGGAATAACAATCAGTATGCAGTAAATCTATTGTACACTAGGTTCTGTGTTAGGGTAGACAGCTGGTAAACAAATGTTCAGGCCAAAATCAGATAGCATCCCTGGCTATGGACAGCTTGACTGGTATCTGCAATAGATTTGATGTGGGTATGCTGAAAATAGCAGTCAACCTCATAGATCCAGTTTGCAGTAAAGATCCTTTTAAGAGTAAATCTCATAAATTCTGACTACCAAAATGATATGGGCCTTCACTGTCGTGTGGATTACTTGAGAGTAGAATTTAAATATTAATTTAGCAATTTATTTGATGAACTATGTCAAGTTGAGGCAATGAGGAAGCCTATTAAGTACATAAAACAATTCTTTTTCTGCAGAAAAAAGCTTTCCTAAGTCTCCCACATTACTCACTTGTATCTGGTTCAGAGGTGTAGGTGCTGAATTCCCCAAAGATGATGCACTGTTCCCCATCCTGAAAGGAATTGAAAAGGGCAGTGCATTTACTGTCATCATCTAATGAGTCCCATTTGAAGAAACCTTTTAAATACAAATACATCCAAACACACAGAACAGATGAAAAATTTTACTTACCAATAAAAGAAAATCAGTTCACAAAGTATTTGTTTACTAAAACCAAAAAGGCCCTGTGCTTATCTAATTTGTTTCCGAAGGTTTTTCGTTTTTAGATGAAATCACATTCACTGTGTTTAAAGTCTGGCATCCTCTTATGGATAAATTCATAACCATGAAATTGTAAATATTCTGTCCTACTGATGGCATGACCATTGGTTTAAAAATATGGCTTTCATTTCCGTCTTAAAACACACAAAAACTCCATGAACACTCTGTGAAGCAAGGAACCTACAAAGATTTAAAGATTTTTAAACTGGGCATGGTAGCACATGCTCATTACTCACACTATTCAGAAGCCTGAGGCAGGACTGCAAACTTGAGTCCAGCCAGGGAAACACAGTTAAGACCCTGCCTCAAAATAAAACTTTAAAAGGATTGGGGATATAGCTCAAAGGCAGAAGGCTTGCCTGGCTCTGGGTTCAATCTGTATACCATGGGAGAAAAAAAAGATTTTAAACTAACGTATCTCAACTACAATGAATTCATAGCTCCCAAATTTTCCAATCAACAAAATAGAAACATAAACAAAACAGCATAAAGAGCAGTATCATTTTTGATGTTTTTGTGTTGTTTTGATTTTGTCTTCATTGTTGTCACTTCTTTTTAATTTTTAAAATAAAAAAAAAAACAGGTACAACAGCATGAGAGGAAAATAAAGGATCAATAGTCACTTCCACCTCAAAGGGCTTTGTAACAATTAAAGGAACTGATATATACAGAAAGTAGACCTGGGTCTTACATATAGTATATATTCACTAGCATCTGGTATTACTAGTAATTTCTCATGTTAGGGACTCATCATCTCAGCATTTATTATTAAGAGCTAGCTGCTGGAAGCTCGTAAAAGGAGGCACTGATTAAGCAGGAAAATATTCACTGAAGACCTGACCAGTTTGGTGTCATCAAATCTCTTCCCTTATTCCTAGGACCTTTCTTTCCCCTACCTATTAATCTTCCTTGGCCAGCCAGACCTTACTGCCCTGCAAGAGCAGGCAAAACTTCACGACGCAAAGTGCAGAGTGAAATTACTAATCTCTCAAATGCTTCAAGAGAATTATTCAAATATCTAAGTACCAAGAGAATAGGATAATTGAAAGTTCAAACATTTTAAAAAATGTTTCCCTTATTATGTTTAAGAACTCCAATTTTGATAGAAAAATGCTCCCTCCAAATCCCTTGCTCTTTGCATTTAAATTTTAATGTTGTCATACATAGAAGCTATATTTACATTTAGTTTCATTTTTTTACTGGCTTCAAATTTTTAAAAATGATACAGCATAAAACTTTAGTCCTTCCCTCCCCACACCAGTCCCCAGACTGGGGGATCAAACCCAGGGCCACTCTACCATTGAGCCAAATCTTAAGCTTTTTTTTATATTTTATTTGAGATATGGTCTCAATAAGTTGCCCAGACAGGACTCAAACTTTCGATCTTCCTGTCTCAGCCTCCTTGAGTGCGGGGATTTCACGTGCATACAACACATCCGGCTAATAAATGTCTTTTTCCAGTACATATTATCTTTGGATGGTGAAACTGCTCTAGTGATGGCACACTTAGAGTAAGGAATCTGTAACAAACATCATCTTCAGGTATAACAAAGACAAGTCAGAGAAGTTATCAGAACAAATTACAACAAACCATCTCTACACAATGTCTGTCATGGATAATTCCTTGTTTTACCAACAGATTAGCAAGAATACCATTAAAACAAAGGGCCTGTGTGCTTATCATAAAAAGAGGCTAGGAATAGGGGGAAGTCCAGTCACCTTGAGAGGAAGGGACAGTTTGGAAAAAAAGCTGAGTTTTTGAAGCTAATCCAGAAAAAAAAAAAGGGGTTATGCAGCCCCGGCTGGACCCAAGAAGAGTATTTGAATGGCATAATCCAGTTTACTTGGTTTATCAAGTAAGAAAATAAGTCCTTGTGACACCAAGGACTTAACCATCATCTTCAAATAACCCACTACAGCATTTACTACTGAGTCAGTTCCGCAGAACTTTCTTAAGAAAACGTTTTCTTGGGTAATGAGAGATTCAGAAGAAGCATTCTAAAAAAATTACCCTCTTCCCTTCCGAACAACTTCTGAAAGGCACCTTTTCCCGTCAGTTTCTAGTTGAGGTTGGTAAAAGCTATCACCTGTGAAGGAGAGGTCATCCGCAGAAGCAAGCGCAACACCGATGCGACTGGACCTTTCGGGAGGGCCTCTAGCTCGGTCGGGAGACTTAACCAAGAGTTCCCAGATCATGCAGTGGGGTACTCCAAGGCCGGGGTGGAAGCGCCGGCTGGCCTCAACATGCCAAGTGGCAGGGCCGAGAAGCGCCTCAGTCGCCTGCTGCTGTGTCCCCCGCAGGTAGGCGCCTGGAAAGCACTGCCCTGGAGCCAGCCGGGGACAACAGGAATGTCACCGTCCCCTGCCTCAAAGCCTTGGCCATTTACTAGGTCCCGTCACCTTCACTGCCTGCGATGGGGTTGCCAGATTTAATAAAAATGACGAGCAGGTAAGTTAGAATTTCCGATAGGCAGCGAACGCCTTCCGTTTTAAGCACGCCCGTGCACGCGTCCTAACGCCCCGCCGCTGCTGATCTGCAATCGCAATAGGTCAGGGGGTCGTGTATGCCCCCCAGCACCCCACGGCAGGGTGTCCGAGCGACGCGAGCGGCCCCAGGAGACTGGACCCCCAAGCCCCACGCGCGCGCCCCGCTCGGCCCCGCAACCCC